AAAAATACTGTATATAATCTAAGGGGTTGACAGAGTAGGAAATAAGAACTAAACAAGCTCTTTATTTTATTATAAGTTTATTTTTTACTGTTTCTTTTCTCTGTTCAAGGGAAATAAAAGTACCTTACACAGCCTTTTTTTTGTCATTGTTTAATCCATTCACCGACAATTAGCCTCTAGTTTGTGGAGTCATTCTTTCCATAATCCCAGAGTGGCTTACATTCATCCAGACCCATAATTAAGGGCAATAATTGGCTCTATATCTGAATAAGAGCACATTCTACTTTGTGGCCGTTTTATGGTGGTCGTTGTCGGCGCTGGCAATGACTTTTAGTATCATCATCGACACGGCTGGGAATTGTTCAGTAAAAGCAGCGAGGTGTAAAGGCCAAAGACTGCATGTGCCGCTTCTGCCGTGATAGGTCATGTGTAAAAGGTCAGCACATTATTTCATCGACATCAGCCTTACCTTGACCTGACCCTGAAAGGAGGGGTTAACAGCTGAGAGTTAGGTAAGTGTTGTGTGGATGACTCAATTTAGTTGCTTTTGAGAAGGAAAAGAAAAGAGAAGAACAGAAAGAAAAACCTTTCTTTGGTAGTCATGTAATTGAAGCTACATATTTACAGTTTTGCTGTAAAAGCCTATAAGGTACAATGAATAAAACATTGTCGTGCTCTGGATTAGGGCTTCAAAGATGCAACAAAATTTGCTAAATTGAGCTCAATTTTGGGAAGGTTATTAGAAAAAATCCCCAAAAGGTACGAAAAATTTTACTTTTCCTTGGCCACAGTGAACTAAATAAATGGGAAAAAAAAAAAAAAAGAGAGAAAAATATTTAATAATTTCTAATAGCAGTATGCTACTATCTGTGGAATTGTCAAAACAAAATGGCAAAGGATAGAATAAATAAGAGGGATAAACAAAGTAAGCCACCGGATGTGGATATGTTGTATATCTTGAGGATTAATTTCTGTCAGAATGTTAACGCTATTAAAAGTAAGCTCTCATTGAAGTTTCTGGGGGAAAAAAACGTAAAACTTCTAATAATAGACAGTGAGCAACGGACTTCACATGACAATATTCACAACTCGGATTAATTTTAATGAAAGCCTTTGATTCTTTTGATCGGTGGACCTTTACGGACTAAACAAATATAAATAATGCAGGAATAGACACAGACAGTACGGCTTTATGATCACTTCAGAGTTAAGTGATTAAATTAAATTGTAGAGAATCTTACTGATCCAACGATGTGCAACTAAGGTATATAAGTTTCAACATTTATATTTGTGTAGGTGATCTAAACATCTTAAAACTCGTTCAAGCGGACGACCCGGTGGGTTTTAAGATGTTTTATACATCAAGATCATTTCTATAAAATCCAGACGTTTGTTTGTGAAAACCTGTAGCCACACAAGGCCTTTAAAGGAGACGTGCGTCTATTTGGGACCCTACTTTTATTGGAAGTTTTAGGGTAGTAAGAAAATGTCTTGTCAAAGGCAGCATTAAGGATATATGTGCATATAAAAATAAAATCTGGCCCTAAATCATATGTCAAATCTCATTTAGCTAGAAGCTAAAGATCTTCGGTTGCACAGTTGAGAGCTGCTGTTCTTCCTCTGGACATTGAGGCTGGTCGATTCAAAAACATTCACATGATTGTGTGAGCTGTGTGATCTGGGTGGAAAGTGAGTCCAAATTTCTTTTGTACTGTACAAACTGTGATGATTTAAGAGAGTTAATGTTCCATGAAATAGCTCAACAAAAGCCTGAAATATTCTGGTGTATGGATGAGCAAAAATTGGCATGGCTGGTTAATTTGTGTTTAAGTTTGTTAACTTGGTCTCAAAGTCCTGAAAAAGAAGGCAAGATTGATTATCTAATCAGCGTTTATTCAGATTTTTCTAGTGGCACATAGTAAAGGTTTTTGACAGTGATTTATGAATTTTGTTGTAATGAAAATTGGACCGTGAAATATGCTTTAATTATTTTTTTTCTTCTTCTATCTTACTTTTGGACTTTCCTTGCTGTTTGGAAATGTAAACGCAGCACTCTTGTCCTGGCTTGTATGAATTTATGTTGTCTTGTAAGCCCATGCAGGCTGGGCATGACAATAATCATCTTTGGCTCAGTGTAAAGTGTAAGACAACAGAGTTTCGTATTGTTTCACCAACTCACACAATTAACATAACCTTAAACACTAACTTAAACTTTCACTTGCTGAAGCTTGTTACGACACTTCCTTTTGTAAGTTATAATTAAAATTGTGGCTCTTGTGATTGTGATCAAATTGCTATTTTCTTATATATATATATAATGAGTAATTGTTCAGCCATTGTACACTCTTCTTATTATTCTTAATAATAATCATAATCACAGAGATACTCATCATGATATTTAGAAATTGATTATTTACACTTGCTGTTGTGAGGGGGTTTAGTATTGTGGCCGACTGGGCACTAGGCCTGTCTCTGGAATAGAAATATAATATTTAAGCAGGAGGACTGGCGTTAAAACACCAGTACTGTATCAGTAAACATCTGCATGTCTCAAGTGTCCTTGAGCAAGAAACTAAATCCCTGTCAGCTCCAGGAGTGCTGTTCTGCAGCTGACCCTGACCTCCCTGTGGAAGGAGTGGTGGGTGGTGTTTCCCTGCAGGGATCAATACAGAATCAAGTATTACAACTATTACATTTCAGATGTGCTGCGTATTGCATGTCCACAAGCTTATCATAACCGGGAGGATATGCCTGTAAAAGCTTTAAACTATCACTCTTTGTCCATCTGTTTACGCAGAGAGCTGAATGCAGAGTGAAGGAAACATAGAGCCACCCTCCCCATACCCAACAGCATTATACTGAGGAGATGAGGAGCAAAGCACAGAAATGTCAATGTGCGGCAAATCAATAAGCTCTCACTGAACCTGAAAAGTAAGTGCCCTGACTGTGAAAATCTTCCCTTGTCTGTCATTCTCTTTCCCTCCTTTTCTCTCCCTTATGTTGTTCCCCCTTGCTTTCCTCTCATCTTATCCCTTTCTCCCCCTCCATCCCTCTTCTCTCTCTCCTCTGTGTTTGGCTAATGAAAAAAAGGGAGAAATAATCAATTGGTTGCTTTGTGCCAGCGTTGAATGGAAATCAATGTGCTATCTAAAGACAAGAGGGCTGCAAAATAACACAGAGAAACACAAATGACTTCAGCGCTTAATATGGGGGGGGAGCGAGAGGATGAAAAGACAGGAAGAAAGAAAGACTTTCTGAGTGATGTGACAGAGTGAGGAAAGACCAGGGCGGTTGGTGAAAGGCTGTCTAATTGCTCCTCCTCCGTGCCCCCACAGGAAGCTGTTTGTCTTCTGTGGCCGTCATGCTCTCCAACTTAATACTTTCCAACAAGTATTTTAAAGTCTTGGGATAAAAGTACAAACGCAGCCTCTTGCTGAATGACAGTCCTGTAAATGCAAAGAAGCTTTGCTGCGCTTTTGTGAATGAAAACGGGAGCATCAGAGAAAGGTAGATAGATGGAGAGGACAAGCAGCTATCGATGTGAAAAGCTATGACGTTATCTTTGTAAGACAGACAGCTTTAAATCCCATCGGCGCCGTCTCTCCATGATGCATTCTCTGAATGGGGTTAAGTGCTGATGAATTATGTACAGAGATTAGTAATAATATGCAAGGCAGATTATACCAGCAGATTCTTCTATGAATGATCGCAGTTTGTTAATTATATATTGGTGTCGTCACACAGAGATAAAGACTGTAAAAGATCAAAAATCACAATATTATAGCTCGTACTGAATAACTCTTCAGAGATTAATTTAATAACAACCAAGAGTATTGTCATCATCGTGAACCAGACGGTCAATCCCAACGCTCCCCCAGCTCTTGATGATGATGCGTACTGATGAACTATGTATGGAGATTAGCGGTGATATGAAAGACAGATAATACCGGCAGATTCCCCTACGAAATCTCTATGTTTGTTAATTCCCTCTCCCCCATTTCGCCGGAGTAAATATTTAGCTCAAATAACAATCATTCCCTGCGAGATCGATCTAATCTGTGTAATCCTGAGCAAACGGTAAAAGTCAAGAAGGACTAGCGGAGCTCTCCCTGTCAAGGCCGTCCTGGTGAGTCAGCGGCACAGAGTGAGCTGCATTGTTTTGAAGGGTTCGACCGATGATCAGGAACTTTCTCACCTTTGCTGTCCATCCCTGTTGTTTAGTCTAATTTGCCCCGATATGAACTCTCTGACTGTGCTGTAATGTAATAAACATGGACATATAGTATGTGCATATGCTCTGACAAAAACAATCTTAATAGCCTTCAACATTACCACGATTGTCTGTTTTTGACAAGGAAACCTTTAGTAAGAAAGGTATCTTATTTACTTTCTGGTTTTTGGCATTTTGCTTTATTAGACAGGACAGTAGAGAGAGAGACAGGAAAGGCAGGGAAGAGAGAGAGTATGACATGCAGCAAAGGGCCTCTGCGGAACTTGAGGCCATGTGGTAAGGTTAACCCAGACACATTGTACACGTTATGTGAGATACTGGAGTACCCCTAAAGGTATGTATACTACTTTTATTTTTTATTTGCCATTCACTTTTCTGTATCTTACAAAAATGCTGTACTTTTTTTTAACAGTAGCCTATCTTTCATTTACAGGATTAAGGCATTGAAGCACCCTCATAGCACCCTCATAGCATCCCTTGTTGTTCCCTTGTAGCACCTCTAAGTGCCCTCGTAGCACCCTCATAGCTCCCTCGTAGCGCCCCTGTAGTGCCCTTTTAGGTCCAATGTAGCTTCCTTGGAGTGCCCTATTAATGTCCTTGTAGGTCCAGGATCATTAAAGTTGCATCTAATCTACTGTAATGTAATCTATACAGCTTAGTAATTCTCTACCTCCACATTAGCCATATCATGGTTCTGTTTCCACTGTGTAAACTGTCTGACTCTACTGTGATGAATGCCATGGTGACGTAGTGATTCTGTCAATCTTACCTGTAAACCAGCGAGTCATCTTGGCTCCCGTTGTACTGTATCTGGAACATCCTAATGCCTGGAATATTCCTCTGGAAGTTGAACTTGATCAGTGCTGTTGACGAGGTGGCCTCAGCCGTCACCACCCTCTTATCCACTCCGCCCTTCACATCACCTGTCACATTGCTCCCGTTGGCTCCGCCTCGGGTTGATGTGGAAATGTCTGATGATCCTGGGTCTGGCTCCTGGATGTTGTTGGTGTTGTTGGAAATGTGCGGGAGTTTTATAATAACCAGGTCTACTGTCTGGTGGGCTTCACCAGCAGGGTTCGAGGAGATGCAGGTGAAGGAGCCAGTGTCTTTCACAGTACTGATGAGGATGTCCAGAGTCCCATTGGTGTAGACCAATGTTCTGGAGGAGTTTGATACCAGTTTACCCTCAGGAGAGATCCAGTGGATGGCTGGCTCTGGGTCACCTCTTGCCTTACACCTTTAGGGCGAGAAAACCAGTAGAGGGGAACACATTAGAGACAAGACAGCTGTACAGTAAAAGCAGAGAAGGGCGGTTTCTGGATTCCCCCCACCTTTCCTCTTAAACGAAATCTAAACATTATCTACTGTGTCGACAGAGCACATTAATTTAAGTTAGAATATGCTTGACAGTGCAGCCTTACAGGAGAATTTTGTCGAACAAAATATAATTACCAGTACCTACTGGGAAAAAGAAGTAGGCACAAAGAAAGAAGAAAAGCTGTCAGGGAATAATAGCCTAGCATTTTTACAGTGACAAAAAGTATTTTAGTTTTTTTAATATTTATTAAAAACTTACATATAGTATGTATATGTGTTGTTTTGGTCTATGAAACTTTAGATTAATAATAACTTTAGCCACAATTCATGATTATTTTTATTATCAATGAAAATACTGGTCTACAGAATGTCAGAAAATAACAACAAATTGGCATTATAAGTTCTATTTCATCATTAAAGGATTTATTTTCAAATGTCTCATTTCACCCGACCAACAGTCCCCAAACTTAACACCAAACATATTCAGTTTGCTCTCAAGGAAGGCAAAGCAAACCAACAAATATTCATATTAAAGCAGCCTGAGCTAGAATTAGTTTTTCCATTTTTGCTTAAAAAAATGAATTAAATGAGTTCCAGATTATTAAAAAAGTTGCCAATTCATTTTCTGTCAGCTGACCTAATGGACTACTAAACTAGTAGTTCAGCTTTAAATAAGTTATTATGTAGGTACAATAAACCAAGGAACTAAATGTGTGACTTATTCACAAATGTTAATGAGGAGCCAGACTTTTAGGCTTTTTGACAACAAGACATGGATTGTGCAAAAAGGTACTTGCGTCATGTAAGTTAAATACTGAGGAACTGAAGAAAAAAGGGACCTATTCATATTCGTGGATGTCTTCCAATGACCTTTTGTCTGGGTGCACGAATGAATTGAAATGGGTGCAATAATAAGCTACTTTTAAGTCATCAAAATTATAAGCAATCAAAAATAAGCAGTACAAGTGTCATTAGGGTCATTGTGACCATTCTCATTTTCTGTAATTACTGTGAAGTGCTGTGAAAAAGAATTCCGAGGGAAGTGTAGTAGTTCTTAAGGGGACTATGGTGCAGGGTTACACTACACACATTCTCTAAACATGGTTGACAATGTCTATAGTAGTGAACTAAAGTGAGCTCCAAATTATGTAAAGTTTAGGCTATTGTGGAAGTGAACAAATTAAAAACATCTTGCATTTCAATGTATCCAGTGATGAATTGGTAAAATAAACACTGGGTAAACCAAAATATTAAAAATAATTATTATCCACACCTAACCATGTGCCACTACATTTTCCTGGCTTTTTGCAGTTTAATGCAATAAAATGGATGCTGCAAAATATGAGAAATGTTAGGTGCGTTGACCCTCTGATGAGCTCTACTTATACCTCATAGATAAGAGAATAATAGCATCTCAGTGATTTCCTTTGCCACCGTTTTTTCAATTTCATCATAATTCCATATTCGAAAATATAACATCTATCATGATTGGAAGCGTGTGACCAATATATATGCAAATGAAGTAATCATCATCTCTTCGACCTGTTGTTGTCTTGATTTACTTTGGCCCTCCTTAAAATTTTAGTGTGATGTCCCTGTCTTGTGCTTCATTGAACAGAGGGGCATTTCATGTATTCTTCAGTAGCTTGTTAACATAATGCTAACAAAACTACAGGAATTAAACCGGACAGGGTGTAGGTCTGTGTTATAAAATAATGAGGACATTTTGTTTGAGTTTTACTGATTGCATGTGTACTATTTTTATGTATCTCTGTTCAAAACGGATACAGATACCTGAGTGCAACTCTCTGCCCTTCAAGCACCCTCATCTCATGGGAGTATCTGGTGATGAGTGGAGGCTCGCAGAGAAACTCCTCTTCAGGGATGGACCAGAAGTATCGGCCAGAGAGGTGTTGGGGTGAAGCGCAAGTCTCCAGGTCGTCCTCTCTGTTCAGCCTTCGCAGCCACAGTAACTCACAGTTACAATGGAGAGGGTTCCCACCAAATGACAGCGCAAACGAAGTAGAGGTCATGATCCCTGACGTGGCCAGGACCTGGAAGTGTGACACAATGATTACATTTTAAGAAAAACTTTATAAGTCAAGCAACATTTTATTTTCCAGTAAAACCCTGCTTTGTTCAGTTGGAGCTGTATAATTCAACTGGGGCAGTTGATTTTTCCCATGAAGAGATAGAGAAAGTGTAGTGAAAAAAATATATTTCACCTTCTTCCCAGCACTGGATGAGTAATTGTATAAATCAGCAGGCCCATAACATTAGGACACAAATATATGTTTAGGATAATGCCAATAGCAAGCAAAAAAGCAATCACCAGAAAATGGCTGAAGACAGAGTTGGTCCATTCACTAAGTTGAAGACTGGATCGATGTTGTTCATTGTATATGATGGAGAAGTTCACTTACTATTCCAGGACAAATTCAATAGAATCTGGGAAAACTTGATTAAATATATAACGCCAATTATGTCAGATTTTGTCATAATAATAGAAAATGTAAACCAGACAACCCCATGGTTCATCGGTAAAGAGTTTGAAATGTTGTTGTAGTTTGAATTGTACCACTGTAAATGAACTATTAATGTGAATGTTAAAAAAAATTTATGAGGAGACGTGAAAAGACACTCATTAAATCTCCAACAGTGACTTGCAACATTGCGACTCAAAACACTGCAGTTTGAATTCAGTTCCTCTGCAAACAAAATAATCCTAAACTGGAATACATGATTGTATTTAGTTTAGTTTTAGGCACTTTTCCAAGGTTGGGTTTAAAAGGACCAGTGTGCAGGATTGTGTGGCATCTAGCGGTGAAATTGCACATTGCAACTAACTGAATACCACCGATGTCTGTATTTGACAACCTGGGAATGGAACGTGTAGGAGAAACAAAAGTGGCTGCAAAACTCACAAAAAATGCATTATTTTCCATTTCTGCCAATAGATCCTCCTAAATGTTACACACTGGAGCTTTAGTGTGGTGGGAATAAAAGCTCAGAAAATTACCTGTGCTCGTTGAAAAAGTGGGTCTGGTGGCAGCTTTTGGAGTTTATTAGAGGTGACGTCCAGCCGGTTCAGCTTCTGTAGCAGGGAAAAGGTCCCCTCTGGAATGAAGTCCAACATGTTGTGGTCTAAACTCAACGTATGGAGGCTAATCATTTTCTGCAGGAATGACAGAGAAAAATGTTGTTATTCTTTTGGCCTTCATATAGATGTTTTCTGACGTATGTGAGGAGGTTAGGAATGTATAACCTAAAGGAATTCAAAAATTGTTTTAATAGTTCTTTAGTCTTTAAAATTCTGGTTATTGTCACTATCCTTTCAGTCTCTTCCTTCAGTCCTTGATGTACAGTGGTGATAGAAATGATGAAGCTGATGTTGTAAATGTAAAGTTGAACTGAAAACAATGTAGCATGTGGTTAATCATTATAGAAAACACAAACCTAAAACCTTACAAAGCACTTATTTATCAAACTATAACTACGTAGTCAACTACTTGTTAGAGACCCTGACATTTGTAATACATACAAATTGCATGTTGGCTAACAAAGAGCAGTAGTAAAATTGTAACTGTTAGCACTGAAAATGCTTTGAAAGGAGAAAATTCTTCTTCAGTGGGAAGTGAGCTTAATTCATAGTCCACACACTCATACTTACCCTAACCCTAACCCTAACCCTAACCCAAAAGCCCTTAGGATCTCTTTATTTTAATTTCAAATAAATGGCCAAAAATGTTTTATGGCCATTTTATTGCGCTTGGGAATGGCTTCTTTTAAGGGCCTCCAGCCAAATAGGTTTGACAGGTTGCTGCAGTTTAAATAGATCCTGACCTGGATGGCCTCCCAAGGAATAGAGTCCAGGTTATTGTAACTGAGGTCGAGTTCTTCCAGCGCCAGCAAGTCATTGAATGCTCCCTGGTGGATCAGCACCAGCTGGTTGTTGTTTAGAATGAGGTGGTGAAGCTTTGACATCCCGCTGAATGTATCGTTGCCTATCCTCGTCAGTCGGTTACTGCAGATAAGACAAAAAGAGAGAAACTGATTACAACACCTCACATTTATCAAGAGGATTTCATGCAATACAGACTGGAAGGCAACTCATGAAAATTGGGCCAGTAGATTTTCTGTTATCTTGCTGACAGACAAACAGCACTGAAAACATAACCCCCTTGGCGGAGGTAATTATACAACAAACACATACCAGTCTACAGCTGTGTGCAAATCCATACCTGTTGAGGTGTAGAGCTCTGAGGTTTTCCAGATCGGCAAAGGCATGAGGTGTGATGTAGGAGATGGTGTTTCTGGATAAGGTTAGGTCCACCAACCGTGTCATGTTTGCGAAATCTTTCCTCTTTACACTGTGGACACATAAGTTAAATTAGACAAGAGACAGACATATATCATCTATGAAACGTCCTCCAGCACAACTGTAGATCTGACCAACACCAACAATTCAAAAAGGAACTCTGATTAAGTGAAGCTGTCAGTCATTCTACTGATAAAAATGAATTTCTAAATATTAGAGTAGTCCATTAAAAGGTGAATATTTGTCAGTCTTTCAGTAGAACTGGAGCAGATATTTTATGGGAAAACTCTTTAAATATGTAAAAGCAAAATGTAAAAAATAACTGAATTCATATATGGTATTCCTTTTATCCTGTGCAGCTCATTCAATATTTGTGATCGTGAACAACTCTCTCCACAGGCTACAAAGCAGAGAACCAAGGCTCTAAAGTGCAGTGCCATCAGGAGTCAGCCTTGAGCTGCTCCATTGACTATGAACTGACTATGACTTACTCTGGGGCCTCGAAGAATGTGCTTTTTTTAACACCTAAATTAGTTTTATTTCATTCTACTGCCAGCGGATAATGTGCTCGAATCACCATAAAAAGCACCCCGGGTGATGCCAGTCTGTCCAAAAATTCAGCGACTTCATTCTCGCCAGAGAAGCTCCAGGCTGATGACGCCTGATGACGTCATCAGTGTCTCTGTTTCCAGCTTTCAGGAGTCTTTCCCAGGATTAGTATACTTTGTTGTTAAAGTGCGAACACAGTACTGTATAGGTGGCTGTTAATAATTAAATGTCAGTAAATGTTAGTAGTAGTAATTTAATAAAGACACATTGTATATCACAATGAATTTATCTTCCAATGAACACATTTTGAGAAGACCAGAAGCAAACACCACTACGTTTGTGGATATAGTCACTATTTCAGGAAGTTGTAGCAGTTTTAGTGCTGGTAGTAACAGTAATAGTACTTGCAGTATATCGTAGATAGTATCAAACATTTTTCTGCCCTCACAGTCTCACTAGTAACAGTAGTTTTAATTTAACTGTGTCACTAATTGTAACAACAGCACTCAAAACAGAGGGAACTCTAGTAGTAGCGGCATATGTGTTAGCAGGTGGTGAGACCAAAAATAGCTCTGCGTTTAAAAGGTCTGCTCATGTAAGACAACCAACCAGGAGGCAAATGATATATCAGATAGATCTGTGATTAGTGGTCCTGCTTTAATTTTGACACAATGAAACAATCAAATTTGACCTCTAAGAGTGAGTTTGTTTTTTTTAAATGATAAAACATGGACGATTTCTACTAGCTAGAAGTCCTGAGGGAAGCTAACAAGTATCTGGTACAACAATGAAATTCAAAAAAAATTCCCAACTGGTGTTCCTTAGGGGTTTACGTTTTGTAACGTTATGTCATTTGTTACCTTTCCATCGAGGCAAACTGTTAAGTATCAGGTGGCTACTTAATACATTGACTCCAAAACACTCCAAAGGGGATAACACAATGACAGAGAATATTGTGAGGTATAGCAGAGGGTAAAAATATATTGTTTATGTTACAAAATGATCCACCAGGAAAGTGCCACGTGTTTGATTGACCACTGCGCTGTGTTGCCGGATGTGTTCCAGCAAAAGTTGAGCCTGGTTCTACTTTTTTGCCAGATGACCCTGGGGTAACCCCAACTATGTCCAATCAGCAGTCTCATTGAAATGAATGAGGCTGTGGTTTCACAAAGTTTGTTCTCTAAGTTGTACTAGTAAGGGAGAAGGTCTGCAGTATTTATCCTATAAAGTAGGCTACTAGTTTCTCTTAGTGGTATCACTGATGTGAACATTACCTTGTGACAAAGTTGTCAGCCAGCCGCAGCTCCACTGTATGCCTGTCAATGTTCGGCGGTACAAACAGTAGACCTTTCTTGGCACAGAGGGTTGCCAGGTTGGGTGACAGGATCTGACATACACAGCGCTTCGGGCAGATCTGTGCCCGCACTGCCATGGCAACTGCCAGCATCACACACAGCAACAGCCTCTCCATGGTTACCACCCCACCTGGACACGACGCCTGAAAAATGAGACAGACAGGGACAAAGCGAGAGAGAAATGGAGACTTTAATGAGATTGGACTTTTTTTCCAATAGGAGTTGAGCATATATTGTATAATGCATACTGGGAATAAATAATATAAAAGACAAACAAAGGCATTTCTTCACCTAGTCAAATTATTGGGAATTATCGCCAATTTGAATATATTTCCAGTGTTTCTGCAAAGTATTCTATTCTCCAGTATTCAAACCAAAGAAAAACCTGTGTGCCTCACACTGCTCCACAGTGTTCACTCTATTCAATGTCATTTTCTCATGCTACGCTGGACTAATAGACTACTTATCACCCACTGCACTTCCTTTTATATCAACTAAACTGTATGGCACTTTGAATGCAGAGAGCTATATGGAAAGTTAAGTGTATATATTGAAGGGAGCGTGATAAGTGCAGTATGGAGAAGGAGGACTTGCACTCTACCAGGGCCTGGTGTTAGTGTATCGTGTTATTATGCATCAAGAATCACTAAGTGTACATCAATGAATGACCCCTGAACATGCATTGGAGTGACTCCGATTCTGATAAAGCTAAAATCTTAATGACCAGACGTGACTAGATGAACCCAAAGGCAGCTGAATCACCACCAACTTTTAGGCATCGCTAATCAAACCAGAGGAGATGTTTATTAGAGTCATTTATAGCTCAGCGGCGTTGCCATGCATGTACATGCATGCACTCACACACACGTACTCAGTCATCATTAGTAAGCAGCAGTGCTTGTACTTAATTATGAAAGTTTAGAGAGAGAGAGCCAGAGCAGGGCGAGGCTGGGAGAGAGAAAATGCTCATTAATGACAACCTTGATTGGGGTTTGAAGGACATGGGAGAATCAGGATTAAAGGGATCACAGTGCAAACACAGACACGCACACTCTCTAGCTCTCACACACACACAAGCATGCACACATACATACAGATTAATATACATACACACACACAACACAGGCTGGGTGAGGGTGAAACTGCAGGTGAGGTTGTTCTCACACTATATTATATTAAAAAAGTGATGAAAAGAATTTTTTCAGTAAAGTGCAGTGTACTGCAGTATTTCTTCAGCCAGATACTAATGATTATAACTAACTGGCTTTATTAACTGTAACAAATCATTTCATCAGTTAAGAGAGAGAGAGTGTGTGTGTGTGTGTGTGTGTGTGTGTGTGTGTGTGTGTGTGTGTGTGTGTGAATAAATGATAGAGGAGAATACAATACTATACCAATTAAAGCTGGTTGTTCTAATGACTGTGTACATGTTTATCGTTTATGTAATGAATTGATTCAGCTGTGTAATAAAATGACAAGTCGCACTAACAAATGGCTTTTAAAGAGGAACAGATCTCATCAGAGAGCTGTGATCCCCACTCACTAAGAAGCACACAGTTAAGGTGTTAAAATCAAAAAGCTTTCCTGTTCAATTTTGCCTCCATCTGCGGTGTGAATTCATTACTGTGTCGTCTCTGCACTTCCCAGACAAGGCCTGTCAGTTAAACTGTGTGGCCTGGACTCACGGCTGTCACTGCTCATGCTTAACCTGCATTTTTCTTATTTATTCCGAAATCATAAATCTGGCTACATCCTGTTTGCCAGACGTGTTTGCAGGAGAAGAGATGCCAGGATTCAGGTGTGCATAAAATTACTTTATGAACTGATTATGGGTGGAATCATCAAAATCATTTATCAAAGAGAGTAATTATTCAGATATTTAACACATTTATTTAACTTGTCACCTTGATTCTGCCCACATTGTGATCCTATCTCAGTATAGAAATGAGTTAAGTGGGGCTGGTAGACTTGTCACCAGACATGGGTGTGTCCCAAGTCAAGTAAAACACCATTATTTTTTACATCACATGTTGCTTTAGCATTTGCTTGCTTATGCTAGCAGGAAAAGGTGGAGGTCACACTGCATGGATTGCATTTAGACCTGGCTGAGATCAGATCACTCATTACAGTGTGTTCTGTGTGATTTTACACTTTGCATTAAGGTGTGATTTTACACTTTGCAGACACAGCCTGCATGTTAATGCGTTTTGTAAACGGGGTCTTAGAGCCACCAATTAATACACATTTGGTGTGTAAATGACAGCAGAATAGTCTGTGTGTAATGGACTACATAAATAAACTACAAAGGTCATGTTAATTGTAGAGAAGAAACATGTTAGCAACTGTAACGGTGTGGATCACTGATTTGTTTTAAATAGAGTTGGACAACAATGGAGGTCTATGGCAATAATAACCTACTGTATAGTTAGTTTTGCTCTTTAAATTGGATTTGTTTAGATAAGAACATCACCATACTTAACCTTCTATTCTAGTCCTGAAACTGCACACCAGTAAACCTGATCTGGAGAAATACAGTAGCTGTTATAGTTTTAATGCTGTGATGACTCATCTTTGCAATGTACAACCTTGGAACCCATTGGCTATCGCCTGACGATTATTTAGCCTTGGACTGTTTACATGCAGGCAGCCAAAGCCCGCTCATACCTGATTGGTCAGTACTACCAGGATTACAAATGGAAACCAGAATGCTTCTGGTGCCAGAATCTTGGTCCCTTGTCTACGGATGTGAAGTAGTGATGGGATGTCATCTTTGTATCAGTTTCAGAAACCGACACTTTTCCTGTTGCTATCTGAATGGAGTCGGTGTGATAAAACTCCACGGCCGGTTGATATAAGCACTACATATTCATATTATATCAAATTACTACCCAGGACTAGGAAGCCATTCACCCTTTCTCTAGTCTAGTTGTGTGGTCCTCTCTCTATATATCTCTTTCATTGCTCAGTGTAATTACTGAGCTGAAATCTGCCACAATGTCAGAGGTCATACACTCTCTGTTTTTCTTTCCCTCTCTATTTGAGTGCAGAGAAAGAAGAGCAGAAGGACAGAGCGGCAGCTAAATAGAGCGCCGGATGACTCATATGCACAGGCGCTAGACAGAGAGAGAAATAGAGATAGAGAGAGAGAGAGAGAGAGAGACCGAGAAAGCTCATGACCCTTGTGACACGAAAGCAGATATCAGCTCATTAATTACACTGAGAAATGACTGTAATGAGAGCGAATGAGTGAGAGAGACAGAGAAATGGAAAGGAAACGAGGGAGAATTATCAGTGAGGGAGAGGAAGAAAGAGAGATCAGAGAGCGAGCTAATTAAAATGAGTGCTGAGCTGTGAAAGGAAAAGGGGGAGAGGGACGAATTTCATTTAGCGAGGAGAGACGAGGTACGATAGATGATGCCGGTGTCGCGCTGTCACACTTATACGTGACACACAAACCATATAGAACACTCACTATACGGGAAAGGACGCATATGCTACTCACTTGTCGTACACGCATATGGAAAAGCAGATTACAACAGAATGGCGCTCGATTTCACACAATGCCCTCTCCATAAACACACACATGAGATACTGACTCGGCGTAGCTTGAGGTGACATGTAGGACCACTGGGATCAAATGGAATGGTGAATTAACCAAAGGGATTATGGGTAAGGAAGACAAATTAAGCTCTGTTTGTAGTGGTGTGTAAAATACGATTCTGTTTAACACACGCGTGCAGCCTGCTTTATCCACTTCTTTGAAAGCCTTCCACACTGACACCCCAGTTCCCCAGGTCTTCCATAAAGCCAGTTTCACCCCTGGCTTGCTAACTGATGAACAACCGGCTTCCCGGACAGCTCGAATGGATTCTCCCCACGCTCCATATACTGAAACTGATCTTAGGCGGCATTTAAATCTCACAGGGATAACCAATGGAACGACTTGGCAGTTAAAAGCGACGGCTTGGAAGTACTCACACATTCAAACTCTTTTGAAGCTGCCAAGAAGCCATGATTGAAGATTTCTGTAGACTTTTGTTGTTCCTGATCAGCTTTTTCACACTTAATGCACAACCAATTAGGCAGTGATACGTTTGAGGTCATATGGTTGATCGCAAAACCATACATTGCAGTATTTCATAAGAAATCCAGAATGTTTTTTGTGTTCAAATCCCCATTTTCAATCCGAAAGCAAAAGTAAACAGTGGTGTAGGGATTTTAATTCTAAATCTGTTTGGGTTGTTGTTCAGTTATTAGCTTAGCTGTGGTTTAAGATTTAAGACGGGTTTAAACCTCATATAATCTTGTAAACCCCACTGCAGTGTCCACAGACGCTGAGGGTAGAACTGCACCTTTTCTTTAGTGTAAACCCAGTTGCTGTGTCTAGTAGAAATCACCTATATGCCACTAGAGTTAATTGTATCTGAGGTTTAAGGTAATAAACTTCACTATCAGATTTCTACAGCTAAGATTAGTTCTTCAATTTCTTTCATATATGGTTTTATGAATTCAATTATGAATCACATTTAAAAGGTGTCCGATATACCTTAACTAAGCTTTTTAGAGACAAAATGTAATAGTATATATCGTTTACGCTTGTACTTGACGAGCAATCAAGACTAACTTCTGTGTTTTATCCCCCTGCAAGTTCTGTTTTAGCTTAACCTGTAATAAACTGCAGCTAAGCTAATCAGATGCTAAGTGGCACAGCTACATGATGTCTAAGTGCCTGAGGAAATGGTTAACAAGCAGCAGCCGGCTGGTGGGTCCAGTGATTACAAACTCATGCTGTGCAGCCAGACTTTGTTCAAACCCACAGATTTACTTTAAATTCTAGTGGAGAATCTAAAGTATCCAAAGTATCCAAAGATAGCAAATTTCTCAAGCAGAATGTTGAGTGCTTTGTGTGCAAATGTTTTAATTAGCAGGACTGGAGCAGCAAAAAGTCGGAACTAGAGGGTTAAGGCTGAGACAATAATATACAGGCTACTGTCACAAAGTGAGATATCAGATGGTTTTTCAACCTTAAAAGGTTAGGGGAAATGGTTGTTGAGATGTTAACTAGGTGACAATGGAGGGGAAGTATTTTCCTGGAAATATTAACAACAAGAGTTGAACAGTACCGTTTCTATGACTGACACAG